GACCAAATTGCTAACATGCGCTGGATTATGGAGAAAGCCAGAGAGTTCCTGAAAAACATATACTTCTGCTTCATTGACTACGCAAAAACTTTTGACTGTGTGGACCACAACAAACTATGGAAATTTCTTAAAGAAATGGGAGTGCCTCACCAACTTATCTATCTCCTGAGAAATCTGTATGTGGGACGAGAAGCAACAGTTAGAACTGGACATGGAACAACTGATTGGTTCAAAATTGGGAAAGGAGTACGAAAAGGCTGTATATTTCCCCCCGGCTTATTTAACTTATATGCAGAATACATCAAGTGGAAGGCTGGACTGGATGAATCCCAAGCCGGAATTAAGATTGCCGGAAGAAATATCAACAACCTCCGATGTGCAGATGATACCACTCTGATGGCAGAAAGTGAGGATGAACTAAAGAACCTTGTAATGAGGGTGAAAGAGGAGAGTGCAAAAATGGTCTGGAGCTCAACATAAAAAAAAAAAACCTAAGATCATGGCCACTGGTCTCATCACCTCTTGGCAAATAGAAGGGGAAGATATGGAGGCAGTGACAGATTTTACTTTCTTGGGCTTCATGATCACTGCAGATGGTGACAGCAGCCACGAAATTAAAAGACGCCTGCTTCTTGGAAGGAAAGCGATGACAAACCTAGGCAGCATCCTAAAAAGCAGAGACATCACCTTGCCAACAAAGGTCAGCATAGTCAAAGCTATGGTTTTTCCAGTAGCGATGTATGGAAGTGAGAGCTGGACCATAAGGAAGGCTGCCCGCCAAAGAATTGATGCTTTTGAATTGTGGTGCTGGAGGAGACTCTTGAGAGTCCCCTGGACTGCAAGGAGAACAAACCTGTCCATTCTAAAGGAAATCAAGCCTGAGTGCTCACTGGAAGGACAGATCCTGAAGCTGAGGCTCCAGTACTTTGGCCATCTCATGAGAAGAGACGATTCCCTAGAAAAGACCCTGATGTTGGGAAAGTGTGAAGGCAAGAGGAGAAGGGGACGACGGAAGACGAGATGGTTGGACAGTGACATCGTAGCGACCAACATGAATTTGAACAAACTCCGGGAGGCAGTGGAAAGCAGGAGGGCCTGGTGTGCTCCGGTCCACGGGGTCATGAAGAGTCGGACACGACTTAACATCTAAACAACAACATGTTATTTGTACCTAATGTCTGCTCTTGTTCTTTAAAAGAAAAAGACCATTAGCATCTTTAGTCAAAAGAACAAATATTTAAATATTTGCATCTCTCTCACCTAATAGATTTATGCTGCACATGCCATTGCATTTTTAATGGATTTCATTTTTCTGCGGACTCACAGTACCAGTCTCTCCTGCCTCAGGTAATGTCCCATATACTCAGTTCTTTAAAACTTTATACTTGGGTCTTTAAAACTTGTGTACAAGGCCTGCCTAAGAGATTTGGTGGCTTGAGGCAAAAGAGAAGAGGGCCTGCCCTTTCATTTCATGTACAAGAGCTGATTGGGTAGGTAATGAAACCTTCTTTCAATACTCAGAAGGAGCCCTCCTTTGTACTTGAGGACAGTGGTCCATTTTGGGAGGTGGGAGACAGGGCTGTGTGGGACACACAGCTCTGTCCCTCATGGAAGGGAATGTCTGGGGTTCTCTGTGGGAACAGTTGGGGCAGAGACTCCAGCATTTGCTAGCTCAGGTGACTGACTGGCTAATAATAGGGGTGGCCATACTGTGTTCCCAAACTCCCTCACTGAAGCAATAGTTGCTGTTTTTTTAAATGCTTAGCTCAGCATTTTTGCTGCCGCTTTAAAACTTAACACCATTCGACACTGGCGCTCGCTCTCCCCTTGCCAAACAAAGCTATACCATCTTGGTGGCCTGATTCAGGCCAGAGAACTAATACGTTCCACTTGATGACTATTATTGATCCCCTGTGTTATAGTAGTGAGTATAGCCCTGTTTATTTTCACTGCTGTGTTTCCTTTTCTTCAGCAAAGTGAGCTGAACTCCTTCCTGTGGACTATAAAGAGAGACCCGCCATCTTACTTTTTTGGTACCATTCATGTCCCGTATACTCGGGTCTGGGATTTTATTCCTGAGAATTCGAAGGAAGCTTTTCAACAGAGCCATATTGTCTACTTTGAGCTGGACCTCACAGATCCCTACACCATCTCTGCTTTAACCAGCTGCCAGCTCCTGCCACAGGGCAAGAATCTTCAGGATGTGCTCCCCAGGGACATCTACCGACGGCTCAAGCGTCACTTGGAATATGTCAAACTCATGATGTCTTCATGGATGACTCCGGATCAGCGTGGCAAAGGGCTGTATGCTGACTATCTTTTCAATGCTATTGCGGGCAACTGGGAGAGAAAAAGACCAGTGTGGGTCATGCTTATGGTGAACTCTCTGACTGAAGTAGACATAAAATCACGTGGTGTGCCTGTCTTGGATCTCTACCTCGCCCAGGAAGCTGAACGGCTCCGTAAGCAGACTGGGGCAGTGGAAAAAGTAGAGGAACAGTGTCATCCACTGAATGGTCTGAATTTCTCTCAGGTAAGAAAACTGATGTTTCTGTTGTGTGTGGTATATGAAGTGGGCAGTCTGTGCTTTCTTAACTCTTGGTTGGTAATCTACACCCTCCATCTATCTGATGGATCCAGGCAGCACAAAGAGGGCTAAAAGTTGGGGTCAGCTCCATATGCTGACATGTACGTGGGATACTTCTTGGGAATGGTTGTGGACTATCTTTCTACTTTTGCAAAACAAGCAAACATAGGCCATGTGTCTAGTCTGTAGAATCTTCTAAGCTCCTTACTGAAGGAAATCTTTTACTGAAATCTTAATAATGCAGACCGATGTGTCTGTTTCTATGAATGCTTTTTTGAGCTATTGCATTATTTTTAGGATTCATGTATGATTAGCCACTTTCAAAGCCTGTAGAAAGCTGATCCCACTGATTTCAGTAGACCTCTCTAATGAGGACTAAATTCAAACCAATGTGCTTGACTTGACGAACATTGTGTCTTACTTTAATAGTTGCTACCTGCCACCAGCAATTTAAATATACAGCCTCAGCTGGATAATGAACTGAAAGCAGTAACTCTGATAGCAAGGTGGCAAAGATTTAACTAAGGAAAAATCCCTGTCAAGGTCATATAACATAAAAAACACCCCTGTACGCTGTAGAGTCTACATACTGGCAACTGTAAAGACATGCTTGTTTCATTCTCTCGTGAAGAATGAGAAACTGCAAAAATGGAATTATGAGATATTTTCTCTTGGTCTTGTCAAGAGTCTTCATATCTGCAAGAATGATTTATGGATCCGTTAGACAGCTGAACAATGATTGCACAGAAACGTTTTGTGCAGATTGCCAAAGTGTTGACAGAATGCTCATCATCCAATCTTATACTAGAGGCAAGGAATCTTGTGTGGTTTACATACTCTCAGCAGGATGTTCTGATGGGATCAAGTGCTTTAGCAAGATTTCTTCACATCTCTACTGCAACAGTGTTAAATCGGCAAAGAGGCTTGTGGCACCTTAATGACTAGCAAGTTTTATCTGCCACAATCTTTTGTAGAGTGCAGCTCGCTTCATTAAGGTTTATGCCAAGCAGAACATTAACTTGTAATAAGACTCTTTGTTAGTTTTTCTACAGCTGACTAACCTGGCTACTTACCTGGAATTGTTAAGCCGGTGCAGTTGTGATGCCTCCCCACAAAGGACCCTTAGAATTGTAGCTTTATGCTGAAAAGTCATTCAGATTGATAGCCAGAACACCTTGTTTTAGACACCATAGTTTTGGAGCGGACTTATTTACTCAAGATGTGTTTTTTGTGATTAAGTACACAAAGAGCACCCCCACATCTTCACATAAGGCTGTACGTTGCAGTTTGACCATTAGAGGTATATCCAATCAAAGCATATCCAAGCTAAAGCATTGTATTGGTAGGACCTCACATTCCCATCTTCACCTTTCTAGTGTAACAAGACTGTCTGCATTTTATTTAGAAATGTGTTTTTCAAGGTATGGGGGCTCAAGACTAATAGGGAAATCTCCACAAAGGACCCTTAGAATTGTAGCTTTATGCTGAAAAGTCATTCAGATTGATAGCCAGAACACCTTGTTTTAGACACCATAGTTTTGGAGCGGACTTATTTACTCAAGATGTGTTTTTTGTGATTAAGTACACAAAGAGCACCCCCACATCTTCACATAAGGCTGTACGTTGCAGTTTGACCATTAGAGGTATATCCAATCAAAGCATATCCAAGCTAAAGCATTGTATTGGTAGGACCTCACATTCCCATCTTCACCTCATTAAGTTTCTAGTGTAACAAGACTGTCTGCATTTTATTTAGAAATGTGTTTTTCAAGGTATGGGGGCTCAAGACTAATAGGGAAATCTTTATTTTGCTTTTCCACCAGTGTGTTTTTACATCTACGCATTTAGTAGGCTAAAGGGACATGGTGGCACTGCAGGTTAAACCGCAGAAGCCTCTGTGCTGCAAGGTCAGAAGACCAGCCGTCGTAAGATCGCTCCCATCTCTTGTCCCAGCTCCTGCCAACCTAGCAGTTCGAAAGCATGCAAACGCGAGTAGATAAATAGGTACCACCATGGTGGGAAGGTGATGGCATTCCGTGTCTAGTCGCGCTGGCCATGTGAGCACGGAAGATTGTCTTCAGACAAAACTCTGGCTCTACGGCTTGGAAAGAGGGATGAGATACTGCTATTGCTACTACGGTGGACCGGTTGTAGGCTAGTTCACTGGTTCTTAACCTTGGGTTACTCAGGAGTTTTGGACTGCAACTCCCAGAAGCCTTCACCACCAGCTGTGCTGGATGGGGTTCCTGGGAGTTGCAGTTCAAAAGCATCTGAGTAACAAAGGTTAAGAACCACTGGGCTAGTTTATAGGCTTTAGCAGCAGTTGGTACAGTTAGATACCACCACTTTGGATGAGGTGAGCTTTTAATTTGTTTTTATTTTTACACTTATTTATTATTCTCTTTCTTAATGTTTTACTTAAACAGAGAGGGGGAGGAGTTGAGTCATTTTGATTCATGCTGCTTTTAAAACGGATTTAAAATTGATCCCAGGGAGAATCCTAGGGTCTGGCATTTTATCTCAGCCAGAATGGAGTGAGCAGTATTCCTCCTTAGTTTTTCTTTCAGTGACCTTAAGAAACATTTGATTTAAGATGATTTTTACAAGTCTCACCTCAAGAAGTAGACTCATATTCAATATGGTGTTTTAGACTATTTTTTCCTAGAATATTGGAGGATTTTTAAGACTATTTTTATAATTTTGAGGATTTTTAGACTATTTTTTTCTATAATATTGTCCACATTTGGGTGGGCCCAATGGGTCTTTTCACTCTTAGGGTATTTAGAATCTTCCATGTTCACTAAACAGTGCAGATTCAAAGCCATAAAATATGTTTTTGCACTTAGGTTGTAGCTACTGAGTGTGTTGACGAGACATAGCTAATACTTTAGAAAAATTCCAGCGACTGCTTGGAGTAAATAACTGCATTTCATGCCAATTTTATGGAGCCAAGTGATTCATTGCATGCTATGTGGTTTGTAAATATATTGTGCTTATAGAACCTACATGTCTTTTCCCTTCAATACTAACATTGTTTTATAGTTTGTCATATGTTCAATATTATTATTTTGAAAATACTACTTAAAATCAGCACATAACTCCTGTTTTTAATCTATCGAGTACATGGGTTGTGAAAAGGGAGAAGAAGGATCAGGGAAGAGTTCAATTGAAGGGAGGCTGTCTATCAAAATATCAGGAGGATTTACACCGCTTTTCTAGGCAGCAGCCCCGAACATACACAGATTAAGGGAAGACAGACAGAGATGGACACATGTGATATATTGTGCTGCATTTTGGAAGTCATGGTCTGGCCAAAGTCCATAGTCATGATTTTTTTTTATAAATGGGAAACATCACTAGACACAGATGTCTTCAACTAGCTTTGTTTATTAAAACTTCCTGGAACCTAGAACATCTGACCTTGACAAAACATAAAATGTAATCGAATAGGCCTAGGATTGATTTCGTCTCTGAGGAGACGATAAATGGCTTAATGTGCCTTCTAATCTCTGCCTCAAATGGAAAAGCATTTTCTTAAGTTCAACCCCATCCTTCTGGTCCCCCAAGGCCAAAGTAGAGATGGGCATAAACCTCAGTTCATGGGTTCTTGCTGGTTCGTAAACCTGGCATCCAGGTGCCTTCCCTTCTCCCATGTCCCTGGCTGATGCCCTACTCACCTACTGAAGTGTGCACCTCTCCTCCTCCTCTTTGCCTGTTTAGCCAGTCCCCCACAGAAGCATGGGCTTGCCTGTCCCACCTCCTTGTCTGATCGCCCACTCAGGAGGAGCATGCACCAGCTGGTGAGTGGGGGATCTTGCCAGGGAGGTGGTGGGGAAGGGAATGTGCCACTGGCATGAACCTCCAAACCGAGGTTCATGTCCAAAGAGGCAACACATAACATGTCTGGCTGAGATATTTGCACCTCCAGTGAGAGCATTAAAAATAGTGAAGTGGGGAGTAGGAATTTATCTGTAGACTATGGCTTACTATTTGAATGCTGGCCAAACATAATTTATTTCTTTTTATTCCATCAATGGAGATAAAGTAAGAAAATATTTGCATTCTTCCTTCACAGACCCCACCAGGCAAGCAATGAGCAATCTATGTCCCATTCATTTCAATGTGTAAGAAATGTGTTCATAACTTAGCATTAAAATCAGTGGGGCTTGAAGTTTCTAAATTTGACTGGATTATGCCTATTAGAATTGCCATTCTTCTGTATACTTATGAAGTATGCTGAGAGTCGGAGAAGTTAATGGGGGCATTCATTTTGTTTGTTCTCATTTTCTTGCTTTTAAAAATCAGTGAACCGGTTGAAAGAATGTGCTCCAGTTTTAAAATTAGAAAAGACTTAAAGGTCAGAAATCCTATTAAATGCAGGTGCTGTTTATTATCTGTTTTCAAACATTTGCTTCTTATTTTCAAGACGGTGAGTTAAACTCCTGGGGAAGCTGATTCTATTTCATAGGTAGCTATTCTGGCAGCACATAGCTAATAAATCCCAGGCATGCTGATATTGTTCATGTTAACATTTTAAAACTTAGCACGTAGACAAGAAATACGGTAGTGGTTCTCATATTTGGGACTTCAAGTGTTCTTGTAGTACAATCTCTTGTCAGGATTTTTGAGAATTTCAGTCCATGAATATCTGGAGCCTTGAGATTGGGGTTCTTAAAGTTTTCCGCCATTCTTTGCTATAGACTCTACAGTATTTCTTGGCCATCGTTAGCTCTAAATAATGTTGAGTATGCTACATTTTTGTGGCACTGCAGAAGTATCCAGTATTCGGAGATTCTCAACTCTCATTTTAAAACAAGCAAAACATTTCTAGACCTTCTGGCTTTTGAGGACACAGTGACTGTAATGAGGCAGCAAAAGTGGAGAAAAGACTGAGTAAGGTTTGGGGAATAGTAGAACTTCAGTGCTCTGCACACACAGTTCATTGG